GCAAGTCAAAAAGGGAACTTATCGGATGCGAGAGTCCCTTGGCGGAAGTCCGGACGGCGGGAACGTGTTTTTCTCCGCAGTTCGACTGCTACACGTACTCCATGGTTGTCCTGCGTGTATGTGGGCGCGTCGGCACATGAGTGGTTGCTACGCTGACTAGGCGGTGCATACAATCGATGTCCGGTGTGTCAGCTTAATGCGACGTGTTTGTGCCTATGAGAAAAAGGACAAGCCTCGCGATCCAGTGAGCGGCTGAGTTGAACAGTCAAGTGTGTGGGTGACTGGGTCGCTACACCTTTTCCAAAGGCCTTTGCACGCAAGCACACCATACGATCCTGTCACCGTCCCGCGCGCTCCGGCCACACACGAACGACACAGTCATAGCGCTTGCATCTGTTTTCTCTCCCCTGTAAAATGTGCGTCGCGCACTGGGACAATTATCGCATCATGGCTAGTCAAAACAATACAGTATGCACAGATGATCGCCACCCAATCCAAGTCGCAGGCTTTACATTTTTTCGACATTCGGTGAAAGGTAATCAGTTCCCTAAGCTTTGCCATCCAAACGTAGCACATAAACGTCTTGGGTTGAGGTTTTTGCCTCATCGTTTTTTGTATTGGTGTTCTGGAAGAAAGGTCGTATCAAACAAGAATGAAGAACTTTCACTGAAGATTTATGCTACAGTTAGAATCAACTCATCCTCATACCAATTCCAATTGCTTTGAAAACGTTGTCAGCTCTCTAGCAGAATACACCATGGTCTTTTACTCTAGAGACGCCACCATATTGGTATCTTCTGAAGCATTCCAAGTTTTAAGTGACAACCAATTGAACCGCCCGAACGAAAAACATTGTAATGAGTCATAGTTGTCCATTTATATTCTGCAATGCGAAATATAATTCTCGCACAGTGTATGGAGTTGGACTGAGGGCTTCAATGCCCAGTTTCTTGGCAGAAACAAGTTAGAGACTCTAAAAAAATTCCACAATCCCAAAACCAGTCTGCCTCCGAATGGGTTGGTTGCTTTGCCACGTTAAATCAATCAGCATCATTTCTCCGAAAAATTGATGTTGGCATGTTAATTGTCTACTAAACCCAAGTGAATGAATCGAATCCAATCATGAGATGATTGCCTTCCCCTTGATGTCAAAATGTTCGAAATTGGTTTTCACAGGGAATGGACATAGCCTAAACGTTTGACTTCTTGGTCCTCCTCAGGGTGATCGATTTGCGTAGTAAACCGTCTGAAAGTAGACTTATTTTTTTAGATACGACATTCTTAGTCGTAAATATATTTAATGGAAAATTTAAAATTATGCTTTATCAAGAGGCTCAAAGGGGTCCCCTTATGTAGAATGATCCATTCGAAATTTATTCGTGAGATTACATCTGGCTGGATTGGAATATATGTGCTCTAAGAAGGTACCTCCAGAAAACGGCAAGCAAAAATCTCATTGCTAGTGTGAATCTCAAGTTGATAATCGACAATACGTTTGCACCAGCTGATTACCGCCTGTCGAAAAGGTTTTGGGTAAATAAAAGGATCACTAACTCTGAGGAACAGAAACGCTTTACCTCTGTTGAGGAACTTGATTATTCAGCTGGCTTACCTTGAGAGTTACAGATAATACGCCCATGTCGAGTTTAACCTGACAGTTTATACCCTTTCCTTCCATAACCAAGCAGGAATCAAAAACAAAAATGGAACCAAGCAAGAAAACGTTCCAAATGATGTTGGCGTTCCCCCTTTCTGAAAAACGTTCCATCCTCGCGTGAAAGTATTTGGACAAAAATTTCTGAAGAATTTGACCCTTTTTGTCGACTTTGACGTTTTGCCAATCAGTCTAGTGTTTGTGTTCTCCTGATCTAGACAATTCTGTTCACTTGCTATTCGATGCAACACTTCGGTGGAAACGATTTGGTCAAACCACTCTTGTGGTCCTTCCTCGGCTGGCTTTGGAAGAAGAGGCCAAATGTCTAAAAAACAATATTCGTGCCATTTTTAGCGTCCTGTTCTCTTTTTATTCATTCAACAGCAGGTTCTAAAAACCCAAATCACGGAGGAAAAATTGTCACAAATGTTGTGTCTTAGGCCTTCCGCTTGTAGTAATTTGAGGTATATGGAGCGACATTCTACCTCTTACCATTCGTTTGGCCAAGAAATTAAGTAGTGGATTATAGAATCATGCAAAATGCAGCTAATACCGCTGTGCCACAACTAAACGGTTCATAAATGGAAATGGTTGTGAGATTCATAGCAATTAATGGTCTCGTAGAATATGAATTTAGGCATCTTTTTCTTTAGCACTTTGTATACTTCGATTCTGATAAGAACACCATCACCAAACACTCAACAACGTTTCAATCTGCGTACATCATTTAATTACTAGTTGCAAGCCTCAGGACAAGGATTAACTTTGGCTTAACTTTCACCTGATATAGATCTCATAAACAACAAAGAAGTTGCCGTAGAAACTGAGAGAATGGTGTATCCTAGATGGGACACTCAGTACGGACCTGTCTACAACTAACGTAGATAGGGTGCTCTTAACACCAGCTAGCGAACAATCCACAAAAACCTATGCTGAACCAAGAGCTGTCGTAAAAACACCTTTTGGGTGAATTAACTGAAAAATACAATAAGCGGAACAATCCAGCAGTCGGACCATATATTCTCAACTCACTCTGGTCGGACATGAATTTACACGAGGCGAGTACGTCAACACTTTTTCTCCAACGCATGTTGGGCACAGCTTACCTACATATATAAAGTGATGGCGCCTATGGACGCTTGTTTGACGCGGGTGGTTCATCGGATAGCTCGACTAAGCGATTATCCTGGCCACATCGGTCCTCTGAAGGGTCCGTCAGATCTTTCGAGTTAGGTAATAACATTGTCTGACAATTTTTGTGTACCTCCCGCAGCTCTCTCAAACGGTCCGGCTAGTAGCGTGTCGCGTACGTACCTGGGCCTAAAAACATGTCCGGGCCTTCAAATCTGTTTCAGCCTGGTACATTGACCCTGCCAAACCTGTGACGAGAGTAGCAGAAATAGGGCTTCACATCCACACCCCTTGAAATTCGCGTGAAACCACTTGGAGATGCAAAATGATTAAGACTACTCTGAGTCACCTAGATATGCATTTTCTTCCCCAGATTGATGGTTCACGTATACCAATCGTCACTGTCTGAGAATGATGAATTCTCCACACGCCAGTCCCTTGCATGATTTTGGCTCATGACTCTGTCATCTCATACGTATCAACATTTTCAATCAGTTCAGCAATATATCTCAGTCGTTGTGTGTGATTCAGAAGTGTTTGATAAGATTCTTCACCTTCGTAAGAAATGTCGGACCATCGTGTTTGACTGCTTTCAGTACATGTGCGAATGTTATACACTTCTGAGGGAATAACTACCATCGTCTGTCTCTCGGTCTTACCGCTTGGCACAGGGCAATCAATCAACATTAATAGAATAAAACATAGGAAGCAGGTCGAGTAGTAACAATATTACTCAAACCTTCTCTCTCCTGGAGTTTTGCAACCCTAAAAGTCAGAAGTTGACATTGCAGACCAGGAGTCGACCGATCAGCAGTCAATGAGGGTCTTCGGTGTAATATAACAAAACCATGTTTCCCTGTTAATATGTGGTAGCAAGAGTTGCTACTGGTTTTATGGTAGTCAAGGGGACCGAGTGAAGTTAATCTGATGAACAGAAAGTTTCCTCGAAAGCCATTTTGATCAAGCTAGTATAAAAGCTTCCAAAGCGCCGCGAAACGATTATGTATTTTGAAAGCTATTCTGCGCAAAGCCCAATAAAAATTTCGAAGAATTTATCAATTAAGTGCGATGAAACCTTGTTAGCGGACACTGATGCTGCACTAATTATGTCATGAGTGGAGTTTGGGTATGCACTCGTACACCTTGGAAATTCAGTAAAATAGAAAAATACGGATGATTAAGTTCTATTGCATATTCATGTACAGATTAATGGTGAATAATATAATATAATATATATATATAATAATCTACTATATCATAATGGCTTTCTTTCGTGCTCGCAAATGCCTACCATGTCAGTTGTAGCTGAGAGAAGACTTTGCAGTATTTCATGCAACTTCTAGTCATTGGATATACGAAACCTATTGTATCTGTTCAACCTGTCATATGAATTTCTGTTGTGTACCGTTTCTCAGGCGGACGAACTTGCCACAGAAAAAGAACGGGCGTTGCAGTTGAAGTTGAAATGCGGAGAACTCGAATCTGCACGTTTATCGCTAGACAAAGAACTATCAATGGCTTGCGCTCAATTTGAAGCCAAGAGGCAGTGTTACAAAAAACGCATCCAAAACCTGGAGGAAGTATGTTATATGCATTTCCAACACCCCATTTCCAGTTTACATTCAATATCAACGCTTACATGTAAAACAGAGTTCGGTCTTCCACTTGAAGTATTTCTGCAAGTGAATTCGGAAAACTAACTTGAACCTAAGGAAGAGATCCAGAAAAGGATGCTTTCTGTCAAATGACTGTCGCATTTGTTCATTCATAAAACTTTCTCAAGTGTAGGATTTCAGCAGTTTATGATTTGTCCAACTCACATAGAATAAAGTTATGCTATACTATGGTAAAGCTAAACCAACATTCTAATAGAAACCGTAACTCAAAAAACAACAAAACCACGATTTCTCATAAGCAACGCCTGATTCCGCGAAAACGTCTAAATTCGTATGGACCAATACTACCTCTGAGCTGAAATAGACCGCATGTATTGATATGCATAGTTCGCTAATAAACACGTACGACACTGAGGTTTGGGATAGCATTAGATCCCATAATTTTGCTTGTCACAAAGCCTTCCCTACTTGATTTTTTTATGGGATGATGACTTGTCGAGTTATAGCTTCCTGTGATCAATGAAACTCTCGCCGCAGATCCAGCGTTTGAAGGTGGTATCACTGAAAACAGTGGGCGTACATCGTTCTATTTAACCCAGAACTAGAAGTTAGCCACTCTTGTGTATTAAGACACACCCAAATACATTGTCTCAAAAGATGTCCCCAGAACTGACACACCTAGAGGTCTCACTTGTTTTGCCTAACCACTCCTCACCTGGACCCCTTGTTTACTCCGGAAAGCCATGCCCAATAAATTTATAATTATACGTAAAAATAAAATGGTTCAAAAGACTACACAACTTTCATCACATTTAGTAGATGCAGATGTTTTCGATCTTGATTCTACTTAGTCTCATGAAGTCGAGTAATCTTTCCGAAATCATCCACAGCAAATTTACTTTGGAAACGCAGTTCAACTTCATTTTTGTCGCTTTCGGGATTACTTTTACGCAGCATTACTGCGAGGTTAACAGGACAGGCTGTTTCGGCCACGTGTCATCTGCAAAAATGCTATCCGAATTTCGCAAATGCTGGTATGTATCACTGTACTACGTGTTGTTAACTAGTCATTAGTTGCAAAGTGATACGTCCTCTTGATGCGGGTAAAGCTCTAATTTACAACTCGAGTGCTGTCATGGTTACAACAGCAAGTCAAATGGTCACAATTTTCGGCAGGTTGGAACAAACATGACACTTTTGTCTTAAGTTTGCTCTTGTTATACAACTGAGATTGATTGTGCGCAATTTTGCTCTCGGGTACCGAGAACACTGCTTCATTGTTTCGGTGCCATCCATGATGGAGAATGGAGCATGGTACCGGCTATAGTGTAGTAACGTCTACTAAGATGCTTAACCTATTACCATTAGAGAAGTCAGCGTATTCTCGTTATTCTGGTTTCCAGTTACACTAAAAACAGACTGTCGTAATGGCCATTTTTTCCCTTATCGCTGCCCAACCTCGGGTTTAAAATATCCAAATAGTAACCACACGCCCACAAATGATTAAAAATGTACGTGATTTAGGGTACTGAATTAACAGAGACATCTCTCTTGTGTGAAACGACGAGTATGAATAAATTTCCCATGGCAATTTTACGAAGATACCGTTCTGTACATATTTTTCGAATTCACTTTATTCTGAACAGGAATTAGGAGAGAGAATCGCCGGGGTTTCAGAGTTGAAAAACCCAAGTCCCGTGTTACCTAGTCTCACCTCTGTTACGCCGAGAACACAGAACTCACAGGACCAAAACAGCTTTCACGAAAAATTGGAGCCTAGAAGGGTAGAGATGAACATGTGGAGCGGGAAACACGTAAGTATATTTCGCTGGCCTTTGAGTGACTTTTTTACAACCTATCCTCAAATTTCCACCAAACGTTTATTCCTGTACAGAGAGCGTATTTTGCACGTCTGTGTCGGAATAGTTTTACTGCAACTCATATCGTACCTGAATCGAAGAAAATAAAGTTGAATTCAAATTACCCCTTCAGTGTTCCAAATTCGTTCTAACCCTACTACGACTCTGTGGTTGTGTGCACGATTTAGGCCTTTAAATTAAGGTCAACTTTACTTGGCAATCAGAGGAAAGACATGGAAAGCCTGGTGCACCAGAGCTTTAACCATCTCAATCTTTTTGTCATTTGAGTATTTAAAGTATGTTTCAGTTGGTGTGTAAAATATCAGACATTCCTGTTAAGAACTTTACCTTCCTTACAGTATAGACCGTTGCAGATCAATGGCAGCACTATACCACCAGGCAATGTTGAAGTTACTTTGGTTGATGATGACGAGTCTTCAAAATGTTGTAGAGCACAGCAAACAATTCATCCTATTTCACTTCAGTAGCCGTTATCGTTGACTATTTTGTCAGTTCTTTACTTCTTAATATCAGAATGCACCATTAATTTCTTATGTTTTTGTTGACAATAAGCGCTTGGTTCTGTGAAAAGATAGAAAAGATAAGTACAATGCCTTGCCTTAAAATTTACACCAACCAGAAATGTGCCCCCTGTCATTATGCGGCTTCTGCATGCAACCACGGATCAGTACCGAGAATAAACCGTTTACAATGTCCGATCATTTAAATTTGTTTACCATATCATTTCTGATTATGTTGCTCTGCGTCTATGATTCCGTCCTATGAGAGGCAATAATATATTTGTGGTAGTGCGAAGAGATTTCATTCATTGGCTGGGTGGTAAAGAAACCGAGGTTCATAAAATGTGAGCCGTTGATGAGTCCCAATAGAAATAAGACTGACGTAGAGTGCTTCTTGGTTTTTCAGCGCAGACTGGCTTTGGTGACAGGATGAAATTTTGGTTGAAAATTTGCTTAATCAAAGGTTTGCGCGCATGCGCATATTACATAATTTGCATGCGAGGTAATCGAGCTACCCCAGCTAAACCATCAGGAGATCGATGTGTACCGTTGTTATAGCCGAAGGTCCTTCACTCTCTATTATTTCCGCTAACGAAACACCACCCCCTCACAGAAGACAAAAAACGATTATTTTTGCAGGTACCTGAAATTATTCACCAAAGCGAAGCACCACGCAAAGTATGACTAGTTCTTGCGCAAAATTTCATTGTTTCTCGCGAAACATTATCACATTTAAATGAAAAATCCTTAAAGACAGTGAAAGTATGACACGGATCTGTGTTCTGTTGCCGTCTTTCCTGGTTTTTTTTTGAGGAAATGTGAGAAAGTCACCCATTGATTTCACAGCGATTCTGAAGAACAGCTTGTGGTGTTATGCTGTTTTTCATATCCAGTTAGCATGACAGTTGAAGAAAACAAGTGCATACGAACTGGAAGTATAAACAATTTCTTCTCGGGGTGTTCACAACAAATCATTTTGTGTGCGGCCGCAGACGCAGAATCGTTTCAGTTACTCCACGACCCCAGTAACGCTAGACTGCTTCTGACACATCATCGTTAAGAAACGCTACTTCCGCGGCCCTTTATTATTTTCACGGACCACAATAATTATTTAATTAATTGAAGTCATCAATAAGTAGACGGCTGGTTTCTGCACCTTGTATGTCGCTGCTAGACACAATCGAATCAGTCTGCTCTGTTTGTTTATCTCAAGAATTTTTTTCTTAGGTGGTGCCCGCTGTATTCCAAATGTGTCTAATTTGTGCCGACGGAGATATATATTTCATGAATCGATATCTTTCTGGTAATATACTAGCTACTGCTATCCTTCCCTCTTCTTCTATCAACACAAGTTAAAAGGTGCTAATATGAGAGATGTGCCGGATCAAAGACAAGGATATCAACAAGACATGGAAATGAAGCTTGATGGGACTGAGGAACTGCTACTGAAATTTCCTGTTGACACTAATGACGGGGAGGAAGTTCCGTCGGAAGAAAATGAATCAAGGTTTGCCATACATCCCATATCCCATTGCCCAGTTGATTCGTTATTAGAAGAATTCAACTCACAAACTTCAGCTTATTTTGATTTTTGCTTTATAAACTGAGTTGTACTAAAACGAGGCACATAAATTAGAAAACCCTATTGATATAAAGTTGGTTATCAGTTGACATCTCAAAGCTACTTTGACCATTCTGTTAATGCAAACACGAACTATTTCTAAACAGTTGTTCATATTTCTGGACCTATGTTCTGCAGCTCTTACACTGTACGCTACATTGTTTTTGTTCGCTATTAGTGCATTCACTGTTCTTAACTACACAGGATTGCAGCCGTAGTAGGCAATATATTTCCTTCAAACGGCACGAAAAAAACGGTCAGATTGGACAAATCTTACAGTTGTGTAAGCAGGTCTATATACTGCCTGTTTGGCGATTGATCAGGCAAACTTTGGTCTGGTTGTGGAGTTTTGCAATCAGTTTGCAGACAGTTCGTCGTCTCCACTTGAGGAAATACCATCGGTGCGCAGTTGAGTGGGTACACTTTCCTTGCTTGCTTGTGGTTATATAGATTCCGAAGCTTATCCGATTGGTTTACTGGTACATGCATTTTATCGCAATCTTATTGGCACACTCAAAGTTTACATTTAGTTGTGATCTGTATGTTCCTTGTTTGATTGGTTTGTTGAACAGCCTCATTCTGAAGGTTTCATATCCTCTTCAAACTGACCCAACTGCAAGCTGATCTGTCCTCCCGATGATGCCACACGACTAGTCCTCTGTGAACGCATCCAAACTGCGAATGTTTCGATACGCTTCTATTGCTCGTTTGCATTCCTGTTGATCGCCAAATGAAAATTTCAAATAAACATGGGTTCAATATATTTACAGCTTGGTAGTTAACTACCGAAACTACCATTAAAATATAGACCTACTTCACCTACTTCAATAATCTTGAAAGCTGTAGTTGGCTGTTCTCATGTTATCAGCACAACCATTGCTTTCTAATTAAATGACCAGTCAGTGGTATTAAACTTAATTCCAAAATGAATTCACCATGTTTGAAATGGTGTACAGAGCGTGATAAATCCATACAGAACCTAGAGTAGGTAAATGTATGCCATCCTTCATATCATACCGGTTATGAGGAATCATTGGACATGTTTTGCTGAGCTATATATACTTACCGTTTTCTTAAGACGGTCATCTAGTGCTGAACTACCTGAAAGAGAATTGATGTTGTTGTGCATACAATACCAACATCATTTTCTAGCCACAAGTATCAGGCGACTTAAACAGCGTCAAATCACGTAAAACGATCGGAGTCTCGATCTCCTGATGACATAACTAACACTTTGAAAAAATGCACTAATCTTTCCGCGGTGGACTGATTCTACTCCACCGTACTAGGAGTTTTGTGTGCGGTAGGTTCATAATTATCGAAGTTTATCAACGACCCTATGCCAGCTACAGTATGTGAATATTGTTATTTGACTGACTTCAATGTTCACTAACGAGTGATGCAGAAAAAACGACAGAATGTGGCTGGTCGGATCGATTAGCGCCGAAAGGATTGGGACCAATAAAACCATCAACTTGAAGTGATAAGATTTGAGTTTAAAAAGGGCACCTGCTAACCACGATTTCGGAAGCTGCATGCTCTTGATAATTTACAATGATCAAGTTTTAACTTGAATCCGATACCTGATGAGCTATCAAAAAGTAGGCAGGCAATAACAGACCACACTCTTACTACTGCTATGATGGCGGATGGCCATTCTAAGTAAAGCAAAACCGCAGAGAAACGCCGTCCAAGGATAAAACCGCGCTTCTCGTAGTAAAATTTTGCAACTTTATCAAGCTGTTTGTACTTGAGTGGGCCTTCTATCTCACTGTTTTTGAGGAGGCTCCAGGGATTATTACTACTAACGAGGTCATTCGAGTGTCCGTGTCTAAACAGGAATAGTTAGATATCTAGAAACGACCATGTATCAGTAGTATGGTGATTCATCACTTGTGCAACTACCCGGAACATCAGTGTGACCGACAGAAAGTATCCTTCATCTCTCATTTTCAAGGTAATAAATAGTTTGGTTATCTCAGTTTACCACTAAACGGTTGTTTTCGGTCATACTCTTTATACTCACATCCCTCACTTCATCACAGGAAATTTCTGTACCTTCAGATGGTGTCTTACTGCGGGGTTTTGTGTCACATTTTCCGTTTTGAATCTCATTAAGGTTAAAGATCGAATCTGGCTGGCTTATTTGTAATATGCCCACTTTTTCAACAGGTTTTGTTACCTACATTGTTTCACAATTTTGAAGTGCCTTCCGTTTTCCGCTGAACAGGGTCCAGTACACAAATGGAGATCAAGAAAACATTAGCCATTTGGACTATGCGAATGGAAACACTAACGGTGAAGACGAACTTGACGGAGCCGAGATTAAAAAGGTGACATGGTTTACAAACGTTGTGAGTGTTCATCGAATGTCTGTTGCTGGAGCATTTTGCAGGCTTTGAACATTAGTATTTTGGCTTTTGTCCCAATTACAGGGTTCAGAAATGAACCATAGTGAGTCCATTAGAAAGGAAGGCCGGTAACGCTACCGCATCTACCCAAAATGAAGTTCATTGTGAGATAGGATTAAGGAGGGTGCCATCATAAGCTGTGAACTCACATTTCTCAAAGGAATCTAAAATTTGAGGCCAGTGATTGGTGAATCCCCATCTTAGGCACCTTGATTGCAAAGGCCACATCTGCCGGGGTTGCTTGTACCCAAAAGCGATGGCAAGACAAACGCGGGTTGAGCCGTAAGGCTTCAGTTTGGCTGCACATATTACAGTTTAACTTATTGCAGATTCAGTGCTGTAGCGTACTGAGACTATAGTGGAGAAAACTGAGTCAGTTAAGAGTAGGGTTCGTTTGTTTCCACTGTGGTTCGGGTTACACACAGATCTGCTACATGATGGATCCCCAAATAAACCTTGCTCATTTGGTCTTATGTGGGAGGAACAAACTTGCAAGCCTCTGATTAGCTTTTAAACATCCAACTCGCACCATTACAGTTTAGGTGGAAAAACGTCGGTCGGACAAGAGATACTCAGAGCCAGCTAATAGGGTTGCCGGCCAAAAAGAAGCACCTAACTGATCTTAGATAAATGTCTGAAATAATCCACACTCAAAGGCACAATACAGTTATGTGTGCGAACCAAGGGACTTGTATGTATGTCTTGTATGTTCTCAACATTCACTCAAACCGTACTACATCTATCCTGAAGCTAAAATTCTGCTTGATCCAAGCCAAAGCATGGAAGCACTGATTCAGCACTCAGTCTCACTGGAGTTTAGTAACTGTATCCTCTTGTGAAATCCGACTGCATAATACGTCAAGTTACCACATTCGTATTACTCCTCCTGAGTCGATTACCTGAACATACGGGCAGGTTTGAGCTTGAGTGATGTGATTAGGCTCGTGTGACGAACTGCATCGACTGAAAATATTTCCTGAGCCAGGTAGCAGTGAATATGATATAGAACATGCTATAGAATGTAGTGCCATCTAACCCAACAGTGCGCCCAGCCTATACTGAAACTAGAAACGGTGTGTCCATCTGTGGCCGCTCCTAATGAGAAAACCACTTATTGTATCAAACCAGTGACTGGCAAATAATTCTTCTTTCGTCTTTCCTCTTACTGGTTTCGGATAGAGCATCTGTGGAAGTGATTAGCTACCTGGTTCTTTTCATTGCAAATGGTTTTAGCTGCGTTTTGCAGAAGCATAATTGTCACTACACTCAACCTCGAACAAAAATGGCTGGAATTGTGCAGCAGAAACTGTCCTCATCAAATAATTTTAAAGGTGTCTTTGGTAATGTTGGAAAAAAGAACAGTTTGATGCCTTCGTTTTGTCGTGTGAATACAGTCGTTCACTGCGCCTTTGAACTCCTGGGTTCGACCCTCATTTGGGCTTCTCATGAACTGTGTAGCCATTTTAGGAGAAAAGTAAACATATTCCTTTCATATATCTGTTGCAAAAATTGGTGCTCTATTGCAACGTTTTTTCATGAGACATATCAGGGCTTTGAAAGCTTGGAACTCTCGTATTATGCTTTGACAAGAGAAGTTGTTTGGTTTCTGTGATGGGTTTTTCTTGCTGCGAGCCTCCAGAAGTGAAAATAGGAATGTAAAGCTAAGAAGTTCAGGTAAAAGTTATGAAGTTATCCATGGTTGTTTCAAAGTTACTATGTAACCACGTCAGTACACAAGTCTGTGCATCTTACCAGTACGTTCCGGTGAACCTGAGAGTGCTCTTGGACAACAACAAAATCCTCCTGAAGCATGGAGGCTAGCCAGACAGAATAGAAGGCGTACGATTGGACTCAGGATAACAAATACTCACACGTAGCTAAGAAAATACAACAAAATCCCAACAAATGAGAATATACATGCATGAGAACAGCGAGGCAAAACTTGTAAAACAACTCAGCAGGTTGTAGATGCAACGTACGTCTGGAAGAAAGGAACCGGAATGGAGCGCACATTCTATAGAACAACCAAGCCAAAGAAGCACAAACACAACAAATAATGTGTTTTATGCCTCTCAAGTAGACAACCCTTGGAAGCATAAGATGTGCTTATCAAAGGCTTTAAGTACAATTTCCAAAACTCTGAAAATCTAGGATGTCTGGGCGGTCCAAAAGCGGTCTTTGAAAGCTGCCTCAATGAAGAAATCCAGCACAGGACACACCAAAACATTGTCTCATCTTTCACACGCACCAGAACATACCACACATGGTCTTCTGAGGATGAGTGAACAGTAATCATCCTCAAAGCGGAACAAACATCGTTATCTTTTCAGCTGGCAAGGGAAGAAGAACATTCATTTTGGACAAACCGAAATACCTCAACAACTCCAACGCTCTAATCAAAGATACAACCGCGTAACACCGCCTACAGCACGGCCAAACTCACATAAAAATTAGTGAAAGCTTGTAGAAACTTATGGATCTTCCCTAAATCACGCAGAAATGCACCTCATTTGAAAGTTACCCGATTCGACAGAGTTCCAGAGGCCCAAACAGGGACGGGACCATTACGGCCAATTGTCCGATTACCAGGAGCACCCAAATGGAAGATTTCAAGGGAACTGTGGAAGCGGGTGAAGCAACTCATCATCCGATTTCAATCAAAATGCAAGGCAATAGTGCTGCGTTGACTGGCCAACTTGTGACCGTCGCAATTGCGGATAGGAAATTTTGCTTTTTAGGTATCGGAAACAACCCAGAGTCTAAGATATGCAGCCAAATGTCACCTGCTCTTGTAGAGCCACTTGATACGCTGGAGAAAACCGTAAATTCTTTTGGTTTCCTTGAAGATAAAATTGTTTTTGACTGACTGTTCGAGAACAAACTGGTCAACATTTGCGCTTTTCCATCCAGTGTTTCCATGCATATTTGGGTTATGACACTGTTTATTTTCTACATACTGCACAAATAATCCGTGTCCACAAGAACAACAGTCTTCGGGTGCAAATCAAGAGATGAGCCAAATGCTACGAAAATATACGGATACTCGCGAAACTCAGACTGACAAAGCCATAAGCACATTTTGTCTGCCACCTTAGGCGCAGTTCGTTAGCGGCAGATTACCGCGTTCCGAAGAGTTTTTGAAATGGAATCTTTCGGTAACCTACCGCGTAGAAATGAAATGCAAATAAATATCCTAAGGCGCTTTTGTGTCTTTACGTGCGCATTCACATTCTACTTGTCATTTCATTCCACTTCTTCTGCTATTACCACGGTAACCGGTTCGCGGAGCACAAATTCGTGTCGAAGTGCACAAATCTGGTGTCCTAGAGAGAAAATGTATGCAACAGGGTTTTCAAATGTTGGATCGATCCGAGTTGCTACGAAGATCACAATTTTTAGTTTGGTTACGCTGAGTAGTTAAGCATTACATAAAATTTCGCCATCAGTTCGTTCCTCCCGTCGACCACATGGGCACTGATCCTTGGGTCCTATCCCCCTCTGTACTGTTGCCTCGTGTAGATAGACACCAAGATTTGATAAATGATAACACCTATATCAGATTTGGCTCACCTGAGTTCTAATTAGTTTTCCGATATCCCTAAAACAATCCTCAGGCTTTCTTTTTTGTGATCTACAAATTGATATTCGAATAAGCCAAACGGCGGACGCAGGCTTCTGAAATTCTACCACGTGTATAAAAGAAATACTACGAAAACCTTTAAACTTTCGGCAAACTTATCATGTTAGTCAACAAAATGATTGGGTTGTTACGTATGCACATGCCTATACCGATGTAATAATGATCCTTTTGCACAGGTGAAGGTGAATTCCCCGCACTCGACTAAAAACCTCCGCGCTATTGGATTGTCACCGTATTCAGTTGGAAACGCTGCAACACCTTCTGCGTCACGCGAGACCGAAGTTGATTTCCTAAAAGAATGTTTACAGGTGAGCCACTTAGGTCCTTCATGTTCTCTAATAAATACATCATTACCGCTCTGCATGATAGCCCTTTGGAGAGTGACCAGCTGCAACCACATCCTCTTTTGGCTACAGACTAAAACCGTCTCAAAACTGTTCCTTCGATTTGGTTAATCTTTATGAGCACTAGATTACGTGAGTCCTTCTGTCTTAACTCAGTGTTTTGAAAATCAGTCGTTTAGACCAATCTGCTACTGGCTTTGTCAAATTCCTTAGCAATTTCTGTAGAATTTGTTTGCCACAGGAATACGTTTTTTTTTCACTTAAAGTGAGATTCTAACATATGGTTTGTCATGAATTACCCTTACAGGAGTCGCAGCGTAAAATCATACAACTTCAAACGAAGATTGCGCAACTTGGGCAGCGATCCGACGCATCGGCGAAGACCAAATTGGTTCAGACAGACCCGTGTGAAAATGGCTTAAACGAGACGCAAAGGACGTTTGAACTACCCCACTGGGAACGAGAGTTCCCACTAGAAGATACAGAGACCTTATCGGATTACAAACCCACCGGACTTCCAAGTACACGAATTTGTACTCCGTCGAGTGATGGTGGGGACAAACTTTACGAATTGACCAATGTAAGTGTGTTTTGTACATGTATTGAGGTTCAATCACTCGAAACTGTCCAGTAGGTAAGGTATCCTAACCTACTTTTGCCAAAATTACTTTCTGTGTCCCTTTTTCGGAAAGATGAATCTGTTGCAATTTTAGGCAACCCTAGGCAGACAGTTGTGACCACGTAGTTTTGAGATTGGCTACACCAGAAAATATCCATCTTTTAGTTGCAAATGCCGCTGCTTTGTGGGCTTTGTACAATAAATAAAAATACACTGAAAAATTGTCTTCACGTATGTTAAGAACAAGCGTGTAGTCAAAGGCGTTTCTTCGATTTCTATTTAAGTAGCTCATACAAAGACACAACGGGGAAATGACGAAAAATGGTATTTAATCAAAGTGGTCAAATGTTAACCAGGCAATGAATTCGGCATTTTAGGTACAGTGCTCACAGTCATGATAATCATCTGATTTGTCATGGTCAGGCGAGCTACCGGGCTTTGGACAGTAGTGGTGCGGGAATCATGAGCATTCATCTATTTGACATGGATGGCCACCATTTTATGGCCTAGTTTTATCAAATGGGCAGTGGTACGGACTGCTGCTGTCACTGGAGTCGCCAGTAGTACCAATACGAATTGGTTATGGCCTATCCTGGTTGACACTTTGAAGACGCTTTTTTATGACATCGGAGGTTTCAGCCGGGTTGGATGAAATAGCATTTTTGCTAGGATTCTTCTAACCGTAGTGTGCTCACATTCCTCGTTCGATGATGAATATTCCATACCTATGGAGCATGGACAAATAAGCTAGTGGCGATTTGTCCTCCAGCTGAAATTCGAAGGTGGAAGTGGGACTCAAGTACAACAATGACATCATGTGCGTCATATCAGCAAAATACCCTATCACTTTGGCGACCACTTCAGCAAGTGAGTGGTACCTTGGTGTGAGCAAACTGTTCGCTACTTACTGTTCAGTGCTTGCTTTGCTGATTGGAAGGTTTTAAACCCTAACTTTCTATCATAACGTTTCAGGTATATTATATGAGCAGAATAAAAAACGATAAGCTTTTCTTAATTACGTCTAATAGCAAAAGTGAAAGTGAAGTAGGGTGCGAAGTGCGTCCTTTCAGGACCGGACCATGATTACTCCTTTCTCACATGTACAAATTAATTATCCTTCCGCCATATTTCATCCTAAGCCACAGCAAGGCCTGTCTGCATTGATTCACACAACACTTCATTTCGCACCGCCCACGACTGTAGACTTGACTCAGCTCTATAGAACTCCACCACTTTCCATCATTTAGAACTCTAGACTGGTGGTTCTCAAAATTTCAAGCCCCCTGGCTTCCTTTAGCTCTATAAGATGGATAAGGTCGCGGCCAATCTGAACGCAGCTGATAAACGGTTGTATGGTAAGACCATCTATAGATATCCGTAAAACACAGACCGCTTACCCCGATAGGTTCTTTATCCTTTTCACCGTACTGCTCTCTCTTGGGGAGAGAATTGTACAATAGTGGTAAAAGCCAACACCTTGAGTAGGTTCCACGTATGCAAACCATTCGACGAGAATCGGAATGGAGACCATCCAGAAAATGTCTGAAATATTCGACTTCACAAATACGAAGTCCGCTTCAACAACTACAACAGAGCTGTGTGCCGGCGCTTAAGATTTTCTTTGTTAGGTGTGGTGTCAGACACGTTATAAACGTGTTAACTTTTCTGAAATGTCCTATTCACACAGTTTCTCCTCCAACTCACAAACCTGACACGGCCTTTCGGATATAGCTCTAAGTACAATGTCATTCTCAATGACGAGATTTTCCATATACTATGAGGTTTTAGAGGGATGCTGGTGACTAATTTCCATTTTGCCAGACAGTACGGTCGCAGTGATCATTAAAATTAAACCTTGTGTCTGTCCAACGGAATCAACAGCTAAATGTTGAAAGTACGGTTGCGTGCAATGAAGCACTTACATTATTATAGTTTTTTTATAATACTGCTGGTCTGTGTCTTCACTATCTCAATTCCTATGTACACGATCAAACCAATGATCTACAGATCCATCGCACTTAATGACCGTTTATGTAGTGCGACAGATCACCGACAGACATTCGAAGGGTGTGCGAATGAAACTACACCATGCGCACCGTAGTAATCATATATTTTTCGTCACTCTACGCCGCCTTATGTCCAATTTTCCTGTCATTTCCATTTATAGCGTCTTACCATACTCCACTGTAGCTATAATATCTCTCTTCAGTTGTGATTTATTTCCAACTTGCATTATGATCAGCCGACCAGACTTCCTTGTTTATATGGACTGTACTTTCTAATAGTTTGAAACACACCCAAAACTGGCGGTTTAACGTTAGAATTCCGTTCAGGACACCCTCTCAATATTCATCTTCGCTAAGCAGTTCCTTGGACTTTTTGCCTGTATAAGCCACGCAAAAATCTTCCGACAATGTGTCTGAAGTCGATCCACCACCTTATATCCTATATCCAACGTCCCCAAGATTGAACGTTTAACTTTGTGGCATGAAAATAATAGGGTCCTCATGTCTACCACTTTCAAATTTAATGCTGTTTTTTCGGAACCAGTGCGTAGAACACTATTACTGAGTGATGGTCACAATCCAGGATCCACAACTCTGATACATCCAGAGACATCTTGAAGTATCCATTTCTCGTGTCGATTGATCTCAGAGTTCATAACTAGCGAAATCCGCAAGCTGGTAGTACAAGTCCATCACACACATTTAATTTAAGGGGATAATTTGGGATTATGCGTGTGCAGTATAAGGCTACATATATATGCATATATATGCTTCAAAACTCCTTTGGCGAAGAAAGTTTACATTTCGAATTTCCTGTGTTTAGTTGAGCAGAGAGACTGAAACTGTCGCAGTGTTAATTACATTTTACACTATAGGTTTAGCCTTCCTCTTCCATGGACACCGCGATGAGTTCATTCCTTTTACCATACTTTGCTAATATATTTTCCGAACGTTTTGAGTTGATTCAGCAACACATTACGATACTACTCAGGTGGGCTTCATTTTCGTAGCAGATGCAACCGAAATTATGCGTAGCTACCGTTAAAAATGGAACAAAGCGGATGGATTCGGGGGAATATTTCGGCCTTTATACAAGAAAATTCAGGATAGCATGGAAATGCACGCTTGCTTCCGCTGAAGGGTTTTCATTTCATCCAGGCGCGTCCCCCAAAAAAGAGAGGTTTCTGGGCTCAACATCCTTTTATTATAGCGTACCAAGACTGCTTCTGGCAGAGCAATTCTCCACTGGCACCTAACCGCGATTGTACGTCTAGCACGATAAAAGATTTTTCTGGAGAGCTTAAAATTAACGAACCTCAGATCTTTTGCCTTCCTCCTTTTTACGTCTACTAATGTGGATAACTGCACCAGAATATTTTCCTCAGCATTGATGTGCAGCCTAATTTGGTAATTTCTAAACCAATTACGAGATTTCATGAGTCCTATTTTATTTTCGGATAAATTTGCAAATATGAGAAAGCGTTCAGTAGCACAACCATCGCGGATTTAGTTTGAGTATCTGTTCTCTGGTATATACCGTGCATCAAACTAAGGAATATTTGTATATTCGTAGTGCACTACTTATAAGGTTGCTGAAAATTCGTCGATAGCCCACGAACGGTTTCGCCCTTCTTGGGGCTCATCAATTAGGCGCACTCCCCGAGTTTCCGTCAACCTTATGTTCTACTTGAAACCAAATTGCACGAAATTAGAGAAATACAGTGAGTTGTAAACTAATTTGGTTTTTCGAGAGACTCACCTGAAACCCAGGTGAATTCCTCGTTTGTGATGTTACCAGGCAACTAAATGTTTGACGAAATTAGTTTGCAGACGAGTTTATTTCGCTAAGGATTATTTGACTATTATGTATAATAAGAGTCTCTGTTTTTCAGACAAAAAAGGTTGTCTAAATGCAGAGCTTCACTGGTAAAACCAGATTCCTTCTCATCCTTTCCTGTTTCTTTCTCACTTCCAGCTAAGCAGTCAATATCCTTTAACTCGTCGTCCAAGGCCAAAAACAAGTCTTCCTCCCAACTATCGAGGTCAACCCGATGTACAACTGCAAGCGGAAAGAAATGCACTCGTACACTTTGTTGCAGACACCATTGCAGCTGTGGTTGACGCGAATAATGACGAGTGCTCACAGATAGCTAAACATTTGGGACTCCAGCCTATTTGCACCAGGCTGCCGACTTCCATCCTGTCGGTTCGGGATCGTAACTGTCACCTCCGACCAGGAGCTCAAACCTCGCCATTTTATTTGTCATTCATGCGTGATATAGCTTGGCAAAAGTGAGTGAAGTAGAATAACTTCTGAAGACCCTTTAATGCACATCGTGGATACACAAACAAGCCCAGAGAGATTACCTTGATGGTGCATTTATTTAAAGCCCAATGCAATTAGAGTAACAGGATATTTTGGTCTGCGATTTTACAGGAGAGCTGCAGTGACCCATTCGTTCTATCTGTAGTGATGAGGGGGGATTTGAATTACACAGCTTTTATTACTGGGTCTAATGTTATATTCACACTGCAGAACGTCTAATTCAATGTTTCAAACATATTGGAAATACGTATCTCGAATGGATATTATCCTGATCTAGCCAGCAAAAAATTGCCATCAAGCTAAGGTTTCTGAAATGCATTGTACTGTGGACCGAGATCACTTGAACGTGTGTCAGCTTCCAAACTGTCCCTCACTGATGAGATAAGTTGTACATTATATGATATTGTCATTTGTCCTCTGGCTGACAAATAATCACATACCACAAAACATGTTTAGAATTTACCCAGAACGTGTCATAACGTTCCTGTTAAACAGGGCAAAAATTACCTTCGTATGCAGAAGATTTCGCCGAATTTTGGTGCGGTTTTTCAGATATATTGAAGAACTCTACAAGCGTAGGGCAATTCAGTAGCTATCGGTCGGTTTTTTCTGAGATTTCTTGTCTAACGAGAGCACCAACGAGAACCAAGCTGATCAGAGACCCAACCATGAACTTCGCTGGCGCATTGAATAAGAAGCAGGTAGTTGATGGCTGTGAATGACTTCCGAGCACACTAACACAGTATTTCCAGTTCCAGTTATTGGTTTGAGGCGTGATCTTGCGGTTATCTGTTTCAGATATTAACAGTCAAAAGCCTGTCATTAGAACTTTTTGGGATCCCACCACACGGTGCCCAAACCATAACGTGATATCTTACAAAAACATAATCCAGACGTACAAGTGCCTTTGTAGAAGTTTATCCCAAAAGTCACCTGTGACATCACTTTTCTGCGTCTACCAATTTTTAGCTGGACTGCGGTATTGGCTGAATCCTTGGCGGGGTTGTCAGCTAGTTGTTACATGGTTTTGAAGAAAGTAGAGTTGCAAACTGAAGAGTTGTTGAGGAGTTCCAAGCATTTGGCTGACACGAGATCCCTCATCGCCGGGCAGATCCAGCTGATGCAAGACTTGCAGAAGCAAGCTCGGAAATCCCGGATGAATAGGATGCCTCAAAGTAAAAATGTAAGTTCTGTTTGTGTTGTTTGCATTGACGATAGTCTGTCGCATTTAAATCATTGTAAAAATTTTTCGTCTGCCATAAACTACACTGATGCATCCTCGACAGTCATGCCATATGATTGAATATGCCCATAGAAGCCGTGAGAATAACAAAGGTAGTGGACAAAACTTCTTTTCTGGGATTTTTGTTTTTGGTTAATTCATCACAAATTTATATGGTTCCGAAATTCACATGAGAGGTTGAAAACCAATGTACGTAAACCATAAAAAAACGGAAATCAAAAGAAACGGGTTAAATTAGAGGTAGGTCATTGGGACACGGAGTCAAGAAAGTGACGTCAACGTCAGACAGGCTTATGGGGCCAGAAGTTTTTTTCAGACCACTCCAAGTCTAGAGGTTGCACTTTTGGACGCAAAGTTGTGGGTCCGTCGGATTCCAACCACCTCTGCGATCGATATCAGTCTGATTGTACCATTTAAATCATTGTAAAAATTTTTCGTCTGCCATAAACTACACTGATGCATCCTCGACAGTCATGCCATATGATTGAATATGCCCATAGAAGCCGTGAGAATAACAAAGGTAGTGGACAAAACTTCTTTTCTGGGATTTTTGTTTTTGGTTAATTCATCACAAATTTATATGGTTCCGAAATTCACATGAGAGGTTGAAAACCAATGTACGTAAACCATAAAAAAACGGAAATCAAAAGAAACGGGTTAAATTAGAGGTAGGTCATTGGGACACGGAGTCAAGAAAGTGACGTCAACGTCAGACAGGCTTATGGGGCCAGAAGTTTTTTTCAGACCACTCCAAGTCTAGAGGTTGCACTTTTGGACGCAAAGTTGTGGGTCCGTCGGATTCCAACCACCTCTGCGATCGATATCAGTCTGGATTGTACCAGTCGCTATAGGTTAGGATGCACCTGGTATATAATAATGAAAGCTGCTCTTTGTCAATCAAGCTATATCTGTCCACTCCGTTCTAAGACGTAATAGTGATGTTTTGAAAGCTTGCGCGTTGCCCATTCTGCACTTTCACCCTTAATTTATGTGAGGAATTTCATGAAAACACGTTGAAAAGGGCTAGTCTCTGTAGACTCATTTGGGGTTTCATTCTATACAGGATATATATATATCTATAAGGTATCCAGAATAATCAGCAGAAACTATTTTCACCTCATGTGGTAATCGATATCAAATGAGGACGCATATCGCCTGGAGCAGTGTGAATGGACCTACGCAACAATTATGCGAATCCACCGAGCTGTTTGACACGCTCTAGGAGAGGAGTGATTCACATTGTGTACTGATGAGTACACGAGTTCGCTGTATCCTGAGCTTTCATTTTTTTCAACACAGCGTAGACAGCCACCCATAGGTATATCCATCAAATATTCCAAAATTGCTTCATAACTGAGTCCATGCGGTATGCAATCTTCATAACCTCTTTAATTATTTTTCGAAGCAGAAAAGAAATTTATCTGGGGTGTCAGTTCAAGGGATTTTCCCAGGCAAAAGAGGACTTCTGGATCAAGATCCACAAATCCGTTACACAAACGCATCGTAAGTTAACAAATCGGTTGTTTCAGCGTTATGAATTAACAAACTATATGGTCATAATAACATGCCGTTTAGTGACAAAGGTAACATGATAAGCCGGGAGTAAAGAATAACACTTGAATACGAGTCTTGCTCATCTTGACTAGGTGGATGGGTGATCGTTCGCACCAGCCATAAACTTATGGGTTAAGCACAGTAGGAAATTGATTAGAAGTTATGCAAGACAGGTAAAAGTGGGAGGGTAGCGGTTGGTCATTGCCAAAATAGACAAGTGTTTGTACGTGTTTTCTATTAATCCATATTACCTTCATAAATCCTGAAATCTCAAATTGTTGATTGCATGATGAAAATGAGAAGGAATGTCTGAGTCACCTGAATTATCTGTAGTCTAGAGGTTTTATGAAACAGATGATGCCGGGCAACACCATGTTTATTTTCACACTGCGTACACCACAAATATCAATTCGTTCTTGACCATTCCGAACAAGAGCCTTTTCTACTACCATAAAGGCCACCGTAACTGCAGCTGAATCAATACATAAGGTAGCACAGTATGGCTTCTTATGGCTTTTCCTGGTTTATTTCTATTTGTATGGATAGAAAAGTAAGATCATGAACGGTTTTAGTAGTCTCTAGTATTCCTAAATACATTTCAAAATAAAAACTGCTTAAAAAAACTCCCTATTCCGATCGACTAAGCCCCTACCTAAAGTGGTTATTCCTACAACAGTCTAGAAAGCATAAAGCAGATACCTAGTCGTCGCTACAATAAAAGAGGGTTTTGTGTGGCTTTTGGTTAGAAATAATATTGCACTTGCGAACATGAGATATGGTCCAACAGTTACCCTTAATTTAATGTTTTGGGTCGCACAACTATAGATAGCCTAGTCCACTGTGATTCCAAGAGTTCATGTGGGCCGCACTGGGGTTCCCAATCCTCCTGCCTCCCATGTCATCGTTCGGCATCTAGATGAAAATAATAAAAAAGTGTCTCTGTAGTATGGTTGAGTTTTTGCCTTTTGTACACTTCTGTACAATATGAAAGTATCCACGCAGTTGCCGGTTAACAATCTGGAAACCTGTTGATTTTATCACGTAACAGAACGCGACGGATTCTGGACTAAACCAAGATGATGACGTTTGGGACAAAACAGAGAGTTTTGTAGACACAAGGGAAACTGATTCCAAACATTTGCCTGCTTTGATCACCCCACCTTCTATATGTTTGTCACTATGTGCCTAACCAATAAATGTCGTTATGCATAAAACAGTGAGAGTTAAATAAGATTTTTAATAAAGTGACATATAGCACGTTCCCTATTGAACATTTTCAACACTTCAACCAGCCAGGGTTACTTTCTTATCGGAAAAAACGGAAAAGGTGTATGTACTTCCGCGTAGATGTTGTTCTGGTGATTCTGGTTAGTTGGCTCAGCATATTCGATAAAATGCATTCCTTTAACCGCATGAAAGAATAAAGTGCTACGTTGTTTTTTTCTTGATACTGTAGGGCCAGTACACCACACTTGAATCGTCTAGACCTCAGGGCAGTTACAAACGCCAGCCCCCTGAACAAACAAGCGCCACACTCTGGTTTCAGAAACTGTGAGACTTGGAATTCCCCGGGGCTTTTTACCGTGCAAGATAGAAGGCGACCCTCTTCTAGTATATGCTCATTTCAGTCAAAGGAACCAACACAAACGCTGAGTTATCAGTCCATGGCTATTGCCGAAAACACTTAAAGTTTTCGTTTGAAAAACTGACAATTTCTGTACGCGTTTCTGTCTTAAGCGTGCTATTTGTTTCAATCACAGCTGTAGAATATAGAAGCTTATTGCAACCACATTTTATCTAAGTTCACTTAACGCATCAAGAATGCTTTTAAGAGAAAAGTTTACACCGAATCTGGAGATTTGTTAATGGATCCGGTCTGATGGACATGCAGTGATGCTATTTCTTCTCTAAGCATTCGATGTCAATATCTTGCCGTCGGAGCAAGCAAGAGGAGGACTCATGCATGCTGCGAAACTTGTAGAGCACGCACAGTGGCTCGCTGCATCTCATCACTAAAAATTCAAACTGCCATCAAGGGTAAAATAATGCCTATTTTCCCTTTTTTTCTAATAATAGCTTTAGACTTACTTTTGTGATCTGCACACTGATGCGAAATCCGTAGAATACGATACGTTTTGTTGTGTGCCACCGGATGTGCTGTAGCGTAGAGCCACGTAGGACAGATTCAATTTACAAAAGCATGCCGAAACTATTGCGAGGAAGACATGAGCGACCGAAAAGTTCCACGTAAGCCTCGAAATTACCGACTGCTTCAGCTAATCATTAATTTGGGTGATGGGAACTTCATATCCTTTAAAATCCTTCACTTATTACCAAAGTTGAGGCAATTAGAAAGCTGAGTGTGCTGCTTGGATATATTAGAACACACTGACATAACGAACAAGCACACAACACTGGCATCTTCAGTAACCAGCTCTTTTCTCAGAATGCAAGGGAAACACCTGCAACAGAACGGAGAAGCAGGCATGCAGCGTTTTTATATAGAGCTTTTCCTAGCTGGTAAGCTATAAATTAAAATAGTTTTTTTACATTATGGCACATTTGAGAATCTCTCTAAAATATAGATCCATCTATTCTTGACAACATGCACTGTTTTCTTATATCAAATATCCGGCCAGCCACAAAAGCCGAAGTGACTTTTGCACTAAAAAACTAGATGAAGTACATAATAGATGAAAAATTCCTCTCAGTTACCCAAAATTAGCAACGAAATTTTAAAATGCTCGTTTCTTCGTGATTTGACCGTTATTTATCGTTTGCTTTGGCGGTTTTCAAATAATTACTGGTTTATTTGAGTGATGGTATTCCGGGACACGAAATATCCCTAGTCACGAGGTCCAAAATTATCGATGGTTTTTTATTTGACTTCAGAAGGAAAAAAAGATAGAAAAACGGAGCACTGTTCCGACAACAACAAACTTGCATGAGTAGGTTCCATTGCAAGGACATTCACAGACGCCTAACAACTCATACTGTCATCTATGCACATTGTATTTTTTAAAAGTTTTCGGATTTAAAGGGCATCAGTTGATAGTTTTCGCACAGAAAGCAACAAATAATGCACACTGATTCCCCCTCTTTTCAGCGTCACTTCTGAAAACAGATTTGTTTGTTGCATCTGTTGTTCGTTTGTTTTTACGTTTATAAATTCCATTCGTTGAAAGATACATCCAGAGTGAGCCTGCTAGGAGCATCATTCAGCCGGGGTGAGTCTGAGATTCTATATGGTTCAGAGACTTATGTAATTAGCACTGTATGAATCATAGCCGGATCACGGCATCCAAGGTGACACTACACAAACTATATATAAATATATATATAAAAAGTTTGGTTTATTTGTCTCCCAGATAATAAATGTTGCTTTAAAAACGATGACACATGTTGTATACAAGACGAACAAACAAAATTCGGGCATAGGTGTGTAGCGATGAGACACTGCAAATGGCGGAAGCTCATCATCCTCATCAGAGGCTGAGGCGTTCGGTTTATGTGATTTTGAGAAAGTTTCCTCAAAATCATGCGTCACAGGAGCACATCAACGGGATTTCTGACAAAACACAAGCGAAAACTACAAAAGATGGTTCTAGTGTCCAATTGCGACAAATCACAACGAACAATCAGAGAAAATCCGATTCAGTTTACTGAAGTCAATCAATCTACTGAAATTTACTGAATTCAATCTACTGAAATTTCGTAAGCAGTCTATGATTAGTCTCGTGCGGTCAGTTCCGGTATTGTTCCCGGAAATCTGCCCCGTAACACGAAGGATTTTCACATTTCATTGCAAGTGAGCGCATTTTACATATGCTGAACCAGTGAAAGACGGCCACCCGGATTACTCCAAATGCGCTGAAATCAACAAAAATTCATGTCTTGATGCACAACGTGTGCGCTAGATACAGCAAAAACTATATAGACAAATGACTATTCTGTGCGGTAGCGTCAAATAATTTTGCGTGGGTGTTAAAATAAGCTGAATGAGTCCAACGGGCTCGTCCGCGAGTTCGAAGCTGGGGGCTCATGGAATTGGCTTGATTACGTCTGGGTAGCGGAATCCAAGCGTCGGGCTTGAGATAGCTTAGTAATTAAGGCGCAAACTTGCTGAGTGAAAGGTCCATGGTTGGAATAAAACCTCGAATCCCTACTACCCTTGTCTGAGCATGGGATACCTTGCGGTATTTCATCCCAAATTTTTCATTCGGGCTGTACGGGAGCTGGTTAGCGACAGGGTGGTACAACTGGAGGTCACTGTATTGCGCTACCGGAATTCTATTCTGCCAGGCCAATGAATGAGTCGGTAGCCGTGCCTCAACCAATGATTCTGCTGCACGATAGTTAATGATGCCTGTATCCGCAACCACAGTAATGACCATAATATCAGTATCATATCACTAAAGCATGTAATATTTTAGAGGACACAGAAATATTTGGAGTCACATAACTACACGAAAAGTCGTGTGTCATCTAATTCACTGTTTTACGAATTCAAAAGTATACTAATACGTTTTGTATTCTCTGTAGTGAACACTTGGTTTTCATTTTCCCAATACGGGTGTCTAGTAAAACAGCAACTACAGTAGCCAAAACACGTCTAGAACTGACTATCGTAGTTCAAAGACTTTTCGGTACCGAATCACACACTCGTGCACCTGAGCTATTTTCATGGGGATGCAACGGAAACATCAGTAGAGCACGCTGCTTCAGCAGTAATAGATTCTACTCTTGCTCAATATCCACTCTTAAATTAGCTCCAGCCGGCCACAAGCAGGGTCAAACGCAAAAAAGTATCACACGCTTTTCAGTGCATTCGGACAAGTAACACGATAAGATCATAACCAAACTTTGCAAAAAAATTAGAACCATAGTACTTTTACGCCCAAATTCCAGCGTCTCCATACCGTAACCACTAATACTCATTCACCAATAATAACAGTTTCAGTGGCGGGCTCCGAAATCCCAGGCCGATAATACCCATTTGCCCAGTGCACCGCAAGCTCTTCCACCCAAAAACGGAG